GGACTTGAGTTTTGTTCATGGTGATAGATATGGTTCTATTTTCATTCTTCTGCAGATTAACATCTAGTTTTTCCAGCACCATTTGTTGAAGATGCTTTTTTTCTTCCATTGTATACTTTTAGCTCCTTTATCGAAAATGAGGTGTTCATAGGTTTGTGGGTTAAAATCTGGATCTTCTATACGATTCCATTGGTCAACTTCTCTGTTTTTATGCCGCTACCACACTGTTTTCATTACTGTAGCTCTGTAATAGAGTTTAAAGTCAGGGATGGTACTGCCTCTAGAAGTTGCTTTATTGTATAACATTATTTTGGCTATCCCGTTTTTTTTTTTTTTTTGTTTATCCATATAAAGTTGATTATTGTCCTCTCAAGATCTGTAAAGAATTTTGATGGGACCTTGACGGGGATTGCATTGAATCAATAAATTGCCTTTGGAAGAATTGCCATTTTTACTATGTTGATCCTTCCAATCCAAGAGCAAGGGAGATCCTTCCATTTTCTGGTATCCTCTTCAATTTCTTTCTTCAATGCCTTAAAGTTCTTGGCAAATAGATCTTTCACTTCCTTGGTTCGAGTTACCCCAAGATATGTTATGCTGTTTGTGGCTATCTTGAAAGGTGATGCTTCTCTGATTTCCCTCTCTGCTTTTTTATCCTTTGTGTATAGGAGGGCGGCTGATTTTTTGGAGTTGATCTTGTATCCTGCCACATTACTAAAGGTGTTTATCAGCTGTAGGAGTTCTTTGGTGGAGTTTTTGGGGTCACTTAAGTACACTATCATATCATCTGTAAATAATGAAAGTTTAACTTCTTCCTTTCCAATTCGAATCCCCTTGATCCCATTATGATGTCTTATTGCTATTGCTAAAACTGCAAGCTCTATATTGATGAGGTATGGAGAGAGTGGACATCTTTGTCCTGTTCCTGATTTTGGTGGGATGGCTTTGAGTTTCTCTCTGTTTAATTTGATGTTAGCTGTTGGCTTGCTGTAAATAGCTTTTATTATATTTAGGTTTGACCTTTATATCCCTAATCTCTCAAAGACTTTTATTATAAAGGGGTGTTGAATTTTGTCAAATGCTTTTTCAGCATCTAATGAAATGATCATATGGTTTTTTCTTTCAGTTTATTTATATGATGGATTACATGCCGGGCGGAGTTGGCGCATGCCTTTAATCCCAGCACTCGGGAGGCAGAGGCAAGCGGATCTCTATGAGTTCGAGGCCAGCCTGGTCTACAAGAGCTAGTTCCAGGACAGGAACCAAAAGCTACGGAGAAACCCTGTCTCGCAAAATCAAAAAAAAAAAAAATTGATAGATTTCCATATGTTGAACTAGCCCTGCATCTCTGGGAAGAAGCCTACTTGATCATAATGGATAATTTTTCTAATGTGTTCTTGGATTTGGTTTGCCAGTATTTTATTGAGGATTTTTGCGTTGATGTTCATGAGTGAGATTGGCTGTAATTCTCTTTCTTGGTTGAGTCTTTGTGTGGTTTTGGTATCAGAGTAACTGTAGCTTCATAAAAGGAATTTGGCAATGACTCCTCTGATTGATTTAAGTTTGAAGTCAACTTTGTTAGAAATTAGTATGGCCACACCTGCTTGTTTCTTAGGTCCATTTGCTTGATAAGCCTTTTCCCAGCCGTTTACTCTGAGTAGGGGCCTGTCTTTGTGGTTGAGGTGTGTTTCTTGTAAACAACAGAATGTTGGATCCTGTTTTCGTATCCAATCTCTTCTCCTGTGCCTTTTTATAGGTGAGTTGAGTCCATTGACATTAAGTGATATTAATGACTAGTGGTTGTTAACTCCGGTCACTTTTTTAGTAGTAGGGTTTGTGTGTTTTCCTTCTTTGAGTTTTGCTGGTGAAGGGTCTCTAGATGTCTGAGTTATTGTGGTCATTGTTGGACTCCTTGGTTAGTGATTTTCCTTCTATTACTTTCTGTAAGGCTGGATTTGTGGCTAAATATTGTTTAAATTTGTTTTTATCCTGGAAAATTTGTTTTCTCCATTTATAGTGAACGGAAACTTGGCTGGATATAGTAGTCTGGGCTTGCATCCATGGTCTCTCAGTTTTTGCAGTACATCTATCCAGGACCTTCTGGCTTTCATGGTTTCCATGGAGAACACAGGTGTAAGTCTGATAGGTTTACCTTTATAAGTAACTTGGCCTTTTCCTTAGCAGCCCTTAATATTCTTTCTTTATTCTGTTTGCTTTGTGTTTTGATTATTATATGGTGAGGGGATTTTTTTTTTGATCCAGCCTATTCAGTGTTCTGTTTGCTTCCTGAACCTTCATAGGTATATCTTTCCTTAGGTTGGGAAAGTTTTCTTCTATAATTTTATTAAAAATATTTTCTGGGCCTTTGAACTGTGACTCTTCTCCTTCTTCTACTCCTATTATTCTTAGGTTTGATCTTTTTATTGTGTCCCAGATTTCTTGAATGTTTTGTGATGCGAGTTTGTTGGACTTGCTGTTTTCTTTGATCAGAGCATTTATTTTCTCTATGATATCTTCAGAAGCTAAGATTCTTTCTTTTATCCCTTGTATTCTGTTGGCTATGTTTGTTTCTGTAGTCTCTGTTTGTTTACTTAAATTTTCCATGTCCATCCGGCCCTCTGTGTGTGTTTTCTTCCTTCCCTCCATTTCAGTTTTCAAGTCTTGAACTGTTTCCATTATCTGTTTGATTGTTTTTCCTTGGTTTCCTAGGGTATCATTCACTGATTTATTCAATTCTTCAAACTTTCTGTTATACTTCTCATCCATTTCTATAAGGGCATTTTTTTACACGCTGTTTAAGGGTGTCAATCACTTTCATAAAGTCAATTTTTTTCTACTTTTTCTTGATTAAGGTGTTCATGTCCTCCTGTTTTGAGGTCACTGGGTTCTGGTGGTTTCATGTTGTTTTTCAGATTGTTGGGTGAATTCTTGCATTGGCACCTGCCCATCTCTTCCTCCAAATGCTCCCCTATGGAATTTCTTTTACAGGACCAGGTCTCCTTGCCCACTGATGTACCTTCCCAGTGATGGCACTCTCCAGTGATGGCTCTTCTGGTGCCTAGATCAGATCTCCATGCTGGTTGGGTAGCTCGTAAACAAAGCGCCTACCTTTCTTGCTGCAGGCAGGCTCTTGAGACAAAGGAACTCCTGTCTGCCTGGTTGCCCTCACGATTTGGACCCAGAGCCCAAACAGGCTGAGCTGGGTGATGTAATGTGCCTGAAAAGGGGAGGGAGGCAGAAGGGGGTTTCTGGATGCAAGCTGGGTGGGATAGAAAGAGAGAGGCAGTATCTGGGGAGTATAGCCCCTGCAGGAAGTCCAGGAAGTATAGGGGGATGAGGAATGTCTGAGTTCCATGTCTAGGGCTGCTGCTGCAGGTGAAACTCATTCACCCTGGTGATGGCTCTCCTGGTGCCCAGATCAGATCTCAGTGCTAGATGGGTAGCTCGTAAACAAAGCGCCTCTTCCTTTGCTTTTTTTAAAAAATTCATTCACTTCTTTCTTAAGGACATAAAACATCTACATAGTTGATCTAACTTAATTGTACTTTGACTGGGTTTGAATATTCAGGGTGTGCTGTAGTAGGAGAGTTGGAATATGGTAGTGACATATTGTTCTGTCTGTTGTTGATCATGTTATTGTGCTCTTGTCAGGTGTCTGGGTCTGAGGTGACTGCAGGTCTAGGTGCCAGTATCTCTGTTTGTCTTTGTTGGATGCACATTTATTCCTTGGTTTCTATCTGCTCTTTGGTATTCTGGTCTGTGTTGGCTATGATAGAAGTAGCTTTTTTCCCCATTTTGGGGTCTGGAAGTCTTTCAGTAGGTGTGACATTAGTACTGCCTAAGTATTCAGAGTCATTGAATTGTAGGTGCTTGAACTTCTTCCTGCTTGTTATGCTTACTTTACATTTTTAAAATTAATATAACAATTTGATGTATCGGCATGACTATGGACCACATGAGTACCTGGTCCTCAACATGATCAAAGGATCACAGAATTTGTGAACTTGGAATAATGGATAGTTATGATTCCCAAATAAGTACTGGCAATTCTGCCACATCTATTCAAGACCATCAAAAGCTAGGTACTACTCAGTCATCCCTCTCTCAGCTTGTGTTTATTACTTATGCCCAAGATTTATATTGCTAATGTTTTCATCTGTCCATTTGTAACTGTTTAAACATAAAGCTCTGTTTGTAAAATGTTATTGGCATTACAATTTAAATTAGGGCACTTCGGATGTTTGGAAGATAAATAGAGAAGTGGAGTGAATGCATATTTCTTTGTAGGAACTCCAGTAAAAACCTCTGAGTTCCTCTATTTTTCTTGCTTGATTCACTGATATTTGCAATGTAGACAGTGTCTTTTTGTTTGTTTGTTTTTTGTTTATTGTTTACTTGATTTTTGAGTCAGGGTTTCTCTGTAGCTTGGGAGCCTGTCCTGGAACTATCTCTCAAAGTACAGGCTGTCCTCAAACTCAAAGAGACCAACCTGCCTCTGCCTCCTGATTGCTAGGATTAAAGGCATGCACCACCACTTCCTGGAAGACAGGGTTTTACTATGTACTTTCACCTTCCTGGACCTTATTGCATAGACTTGTCTGGCATTTAACTCAGGGAAAAATATACCCGCCTCTGCTTTTGAAGTTCTGAGCTTAAAGGCATGAGTCAATACAACCAGGTTGTCCAACTTATTTTTCTATTTGTAGTTAGTTAATCTTCATAAAATTTTCTCATGTGTACTATATACTGTTGATATGTTTTCTTGTTTCTCTTTGCTAATAGATATTTCACATGTAAGGTGATATCTCATTCAAAGAGTACAGAAATGACAGAGATGACTCTCCTATACACTTTCCTTCTAAAGTGAGTGTCTATGTCTTAGAATATGACTAGGGAATACCAGAATTTTATGACTATACTATCAAAGAAGTATACATTTACAATGGTGTCACTATCATGTCACTATCATGTATGGCATATTTTAGAAGGCAGTGACCTAGGATGATGTGCATATCAACTTCACTTGGGAAGAGTGGAATTTGCTGGATCCTTCCCAGAAGAATCTCTACAAAGATGTGATGCTGGAGACCTACAGGAACCTCACTACTATAGGTAAAAATTAATTTCCTTCTTGTTTCAAAATAAAGGGACAGCTTTTTCTTGGTTAATGATGTTCTTCAATAATTTGATTTAAACTGGGCAGTGGTGGCACACGCCTTTTATCCCAGCACTCGGGAGGCAGAGGCAGGCAGATCTCTGAGTTTGAGGCCAGCCTGGTCTACAAGAGCTAGTTCCAGGACAGGCACCAAAAGCTACAGAGAAAACCTGTCTCGAAAAAACAAAAAAAAATGAGAAAAAAATAATTTGATTTAGAAAGGAGAATAAGAATGAGGTAAATAAATCAAAATGGTTCTAAGGTTTAGTTAAAATAGTTACTTAAATGATGCATAGTATTCAATATTATAACATACATTTTCTGGTACTGCATTTTAGGATACATTTGGGAAGAACATAATAGTAAAGAACATTGTCAACATTCTAGAAGACATGAAAGGTAATTTTCTTATGCATGCTGAAAATAATGATCCTCTAATAAAATGATAATGTGTCCTAGAAGATTTAAATAAAAGCAACAGTGTGAATAAGCACAGCTTTAAGTGCATTTATGATTATTAACTTCTGAAAAATCCATATAGAATTTCATGTAGTTGAATTATATTTTCAAGGCATTTTTTTTAATTAAGAAGTCATGAGAAATGGCTAAACAGATATCAGCATTTGAAGCATACAACCATGAGAGCTATTCTGTAGATCCACCAATCCATTTATTTCTTACTACTCATAATACAAAATGTGTATACATTGGAGTGATGATAAGTATATCTGCAAGACTTTCTAATAAATCGAGAGCACATAGTAAATCTTGTATTACTCATATACTTCTTATTACTATATTAAGATTGGTGACAGAAGCAGTTAGAGTTAAGTGGCAGTTGTTGTGAAGAAACTTCTACTGCACATCTATGAGGAACAGAATGTCACACCGTGATAATTCAGTGTGGAAATTTTTTGTTTGTGATTCTTCCTTTACCTTGTATACCACAAATTACTCTCAATACAAGCCTATGTGCATGGGAATATGGAAAATCACAGCATATCTCTCTCTAAAAACAATTAGAAGATAAGCATTAGTCCCCATGTTAAGTACCCTTTCTCAAATTGATTGAACTATATAAAAAATTGGTTTTCTCACATAACTGTTAATACATAAAAAAAGTCACAGTGCAGAGAAGCCACATGAGTTCTAGAATTGTGCAAATACTTCTTATTGTCCTAGTTTACTTAGCAAATGTAGTATGATTTACAGTATAGGACAGTTTAAGAATGCAATAAAGTTGTTCTGAGGTTATTCAGTTGTCTTCAAATATGTGAAATATGTCAAATTGAAAAATGTTTCTGTAAAGGTGAAAATTTAAACCACATAATAAAGGAATTTACCATGACAAGTGTCTTAAAAAATGCAAAACAACCCTTAATTACAAAAGAAAGCATGAGTTTAAACAAAGTTATAAAACCTTAATATCTGAATTCTGTTTACTATTAGACTAAATGATAAAAAATAATACATACAGATATGTAGTATCATGAGTGTATTGAATGTGGTAAAACTTTTATGTGTTCCAATTATACTTGCAGGATTAAAAGAAATAATTCTGGAAAGAAATATTCAGTACATCCTCAATGTGATAAAGCCTTGGCATATGATAGTCAGCTTCAGAGGAATGAAAGAAAACATTATAGTGAGAAATCCTATGCATCTAATCAGTGTTGTAAAGCCTTTGCTCATCACAGTTCTTTTCAAATGAACACAAGAACACATACTGAAAAAAAACCCTGTGAATGTAATCACTGTGGTAAGGCCTTTGCATATCAGAGTGATCTTCAAAGGCATAAAAGAACACATACTGGAGAGAAACCCTATGAATGTAATCAGTGTGGTAAGGCCTTTGTTCAACACAGTCATCTTCAAATACATGAAAGAACACATACTGGAGAGAAATCCTTTGAATGTATTCAGTGTGGTAAGGCCTTTGCACGACATGATCATCTTCAATCACATAAAAGAACACACACTGGAGAGAAACCACATGAATGTAGTCAGTGTGGTAAGGCCTTTGTTCAACACAGTCATCTTAAAGAGCATAAAAGAACACATACTGGAGAGAAACCTTATGAATGTAATCAGTGTAGTAAGGCCTTTGCTCAAAAAAATACTCTTCAAAACCATGAAAGAACACATACTGGAGAGAAACCTTATGAATGTAATCAGTGTAGTAAGGCCTTTGCTCAACAAAATACTCTTCAAAACCATGAAAGAACACACACTGGAGAGAAACCCTATGCATGTAATCAGTGTGGTAAAGCCTTTGCACGACACGGTCATCTTCAATTGCATAAAAGAACACACACTGGAGAGAAACCCTATGAATGTATTCAGTGTGGTAAGGTCTTTGCTCAACACAGTCATCTTCAAATACATGAAAGAACACATACTGGAGAGAAACCCTATGAATGTATTCAGTGTGGTAAGGCCTTTGCACGACATGATCATCTTCAATATCATAAAAGAACACACACTGGAGAGAAACCATATAAATGTTGTCAGTGTGGTAAGGCCTTTGTTCAACACAGTCATCTTAAAGAGCATAAAAGAACACATACTGGAGAGAAAACTTATGAATGTAATCAGTGTAGTAAGGCCTTTGCTCAACACAGTCATCTTAAAGTGCATAAAAGAACACATACTGGAGAGAATCCCTATGAATGTAATCAGTGTGGTAAAGCCTTTGCACGACACGATCATCTTCAATTGCATAAAAGAACACACACTGGAGAGAAACCCTATGAATGTAATCAGTGTGGTAAGGCATTTGGACGGCCCCATACTCTTCAATTGCATAAAAGAATACATACTGGAGAGAAACCCTATAAATGTAATCAGTGTGGTAAGACATTTGCTCATCACAGAGCTCTTCAAATACATGAAAGAACACATACTGGAGAGAAACCCTATGAATGTAATCAGTGTGATAAGGTCTTTGCTCAAAACAATGCTCTTCAAAGGCATCAAAGAACACACATGGGTGCAAAAAGGTATGCATGAAATGAGTTTGGAAAAGTCTTTTCATGTCTTATTCATCTTCAAATGCAGAAAAGGACACAGATTGGAAAGAAACTTGTGAATGGATTTGTTTCGCAAATATGTTGTCACAATAATCTCCAAGTACATGAAACAAACCATCCTGGAGAGGAACTGTAAACTTAAGGATTATAGTCTTCAAAAACATGAGAATAATCATAATGTAGTGAAAAAAATAAACTTAGTGTTGTAAATGTTTTGTACTTTTTACAGGAGTAAAACTTTTTGTGTGTAATCAATCTGATAAAGTTTTTGGGTACCTGAAGAAGACACTGAGGGTTTCTTATTGCAAATTAATTTTAAGCCATCACATTTACAGTCTATTAACCAACAGTATTTATTCTGTAAAAAAAATGATTGTGTCAACAATCTGTTCAAGCATTATGATACCAGCTTTTATTTTATTTGCACCAGGAAACTCATGGACAAAACCTAATTTGTGATCTTATGAAGTCTTTTGGGAAGGAGATAGAGCCAGGGTAAGAATTTCAACCTGGTACTGAAATGAGATACAAAGGAAAACCCTTTGCCCCTAATTCCAGAACTAGTGAAAAATACAACATCACCCTGAAAACACAGTCAAACATCAAAACTGGATACTGAAAGAAATCTGCTTTGTCTCTCAAACCAGAGCAAAAAAAAATGCAATCTACCCTTGTCAATCTGAGCTCAAAACCCACCAACTCCAGAGCACAAAATCCAGCCCATGTCTGAGCTTGTTCAAGCCCAGGCATTTAAATCTGACCAATTCTCACCTTCTAAATCTCCTTAGAGCTGCTCTGCCTCCAAGACGCCCTATATGAGTCATATGCTCATTCAGTTGGCAGCTGCCTCTTTCCAAACTTGCAGAGGAACTCACACTCTGGATTCTTCCCTCCCAAATAAATCTCTTGACTGAGATTTATATGAACACCTTCTTTCACTGAAATGGATCAGGAAATCCCTAGTGGAGTTGAACAGAGATACAGTTGACATAACTGTTTGGAAACTCACTTAGCCCAGAAGAGCACAGAAGCAATGGACACCTCTTATGGGAGACTCCCTTAGGAGAGTGGAGCAGATCAGAAACTGACATTTCTGCTGGGAAGCTTTCATAGAAGAATGGAGCAGAGCCCAGCTGTAATGACTCTCTCTCAGAGAGAAAGAGAATTGCTATGTCTAGTGGGGGCAAACTTCTTTTCACAGCTGTTGGTGTTGCCTAACTTTCAGTAATCAGCGTATCCTTCCTTCCAGAATTTTAAGACTTGCAAAATGAATTTGAACAATAATGTAACCCTTTTAGATTTTATACTCTCTTCAACTGCATGAAATTTGTAATTCAGGTGTAAATATTTATGGATGTGTACTGCCTCCTTTTTGGTTGTGATATAATGTCTCTTTCAACATATAAAAGCATATAATTCAGGCCATGGTTCTAGAGGAAAACAGGATCACCATGAAAGAGCCATGACAAAAAGTGTCAGACATGGCACTAAAGCTGGAACTTAAGAACCCAAAGCTGTAATCTTCCACATGAAGCAGAGTGTTGGAACTGGAACTGGTGTATGAATGTAAATTCTCATAGCCTACTCTCAGTGACATATTTCCTTCAGCAGTGCAGCGTGTCCTAAATCTTCCCAAATGATACCACCAACTTAGAAGGATTTATTTCTCTTACTTCAAGTTTAAATTTGATTTCTCTTTACATGAACCAATACTTCATGAAGAAACACTCTGTAAGTGAGCTGTAATATGCCTGGACTCATCTTTTACATTAATAAATGCTTACAGGAGAAAAATTTCCATGCGTGAAAATTTTTTTTAAAAGTTTGCTTTTGTTGTAATGATGTGCATGTGTATGTGTGTGTGTGTGTGAGAGAGAGAATGTTAATGTGCATTCTGTATTCTGAAAACATTAACACCTTGCATCTTCTTGTAGCAGAAATTACAGGTAGCTCTTAAAAATTTGACCTGAGTCCTTGGAATGAAGATTTCTTAGTCACCTAGACATGATTCTAGTCCTATAAATATTTTAATGTCTATTCATATTACATTGAATTTTGGAAGTAGGAACAAACTCATAAGCAGAAAACAATTTTTATTGACTTTAGCCATCAAAGTTTTCTTCAGCTTGAAGAAAAATTATTTTTCATCATAACTTTGAAAGAAGTAAATTATGTAACATGTTCACTCAAGATTGATGGTGGAAATCATTGCATTTTGGTTTCTATTTTGAAACATTTGAGGTAGGTACTAAAGTGTCCTATTTTGTGACAACTTTATTTACTAAAATTTAATTTTTATACATTATATTCCTTCTATGGCTTTTGTTCAGCTTCTATTGTGCCTTTCCCTAGTAATAGGTATTTTTATGATGTAATGTATAAGATGACATCCCCATCATTGAAGTGACCCACTGGTTATTAAAATATTAAAACATGTCTGATAATAATTTTCAAGTAAGGAATTTTCAAGTAAGTGAAAGGGTGGTCAGTTGTTTCTGGTTTTGACTTTCATCTTTTCACAAAATTCCTTGAGGTCCTCATGCTGGCTTGGATGTCAGTAATGATTCAGAGATACATTTGAAGTCATGATGCTTATGTGTCTGCTACCTGAGCACAAGTTCAAGGGTAGATCATGAACTCCCAATGTGTTCTGTTTTCTCAACACAATTTAACAATGTTAATGCTAAAATGACTGAAAAATGTGATTATAAGAAACATTAAATACCTCATGTGTGTATTCAAAAATATTTTCATTTATATGATATTGATATAATAAAGTAAAATAATCAGCAATCAGTTGTGTATCTCATACCATAGCTTGATGTTCTGCTGGGATGAATGTTGGGTTTCTTGCCTAGTATACACAGTTTCTTCCCACAGAACTATATCAGTGATGATCAAATTTGATTTGAAGAAATAGTACATCAGTAAATTATTGTCTTTCAGATCGTAAATGTAAATTCATTCAAGGGTATAAGGACCCAGGATATCTTGAATAATAAATCTTTGCATATGTACTTATTTATACTACCATACATTTCTAATTTGTTCATTCTGAAGGCTAAATATATATTTATAACTCTTTCTTAGAAGATAAATTATATGGCATAGAATTGTCTCATTTAGTAAAGTTCATTGCTGCTAATTCTGAGAACCTGAGTTCTATCTCTGGGTTACCGATAAGACTTCTACAGTTGTTTCCCATATTTTCACTTGGGTGCTTCCATGTGCAAACTTCTATATGAGCTCATTGATGAATAATTTTTAAATACAAAGAAGTGCCATTGAGGTCACTTGCAGCCAAATGGTTCCCTAGGTATCATCACTAGAACTCACGAAGTGGAAGTAGATCATAGACCCCTGTTAGTTTTCCTGTCAGTGCTACATACACATCATGGCACAGGTGTATTCACACAAACACACTTCAAACATTTAAAAATGGATGGAATTAACAATGCAAAGAAAATAACCCATTATTGAGAACATACAAAATGATTTGGCTGTTCATATTATAGAATTTCAAGAAATATTGCTCATCATGAAAACAATGGTGCTCCCTCTAAATCTTATTTCTTTCTCTGATTCAATGATAAGTCCTTTAAAAATACCTATTTCAGCTGGACTTAGAGGTGTATGGCTATAATCATAGCACACAGGAGTATGTGTGGGGCCCACCACAGTAAGTTTGAGGTCAACTTGTTCCCCATCATGAATTCTTGAAATCCCTGGCTATGTGGACTTTTTCTAATCAAATCTGGCTTGACTCAGGTTTATTTTAACCAAGTTTTTTATCTTTTCACATAAGGAGATCTGTTTTATCAATGAAGATAAGAAGCAATATAGAAATTCCATTCACATTCAGTCTATTAGATCCTTTGACAACCATCTAGAGGTGATGTTATCTTTCAAGAGACAAGAGACAGAAGGAAACTGGGACACCTTCACCATCAGCATTATCATGACATATGGGAACTGGAGAGTGGTCTCAGGAGTACTGGTTCTCTTGGGTACCCAAGTGTGATTCCTATCCCACATTTCAGATTGGTCAGAACTCCATGTAATTGTAGGTCCTGAATATGTGGTACATTATTCTGGCTTCTTATGGCACAAGATATGCAAATGCTGAACAGAAAGGTCTGTATGTGATTCTTTATTTATAATAGGTTTTCTTTGCGTGCCTGTTATCTTCAAAAAGAATGAAGTTTACTTTAGACGTAGACATGGAGACAGTGTCTAATCACCTCTGACTGGAAGTATATACAGTTGTGGGTGCTGGGTATCAAGGTTGGTCCCCGTGGATGAGTCACCAGTGTTCTAACTGCTGAGTCTCATGAACATATCAGTACCAGTGTGGTTTGAGTGGTTGATCTAAGTTCTTTACCACAACCTTGATGACCCAGAAGAAATAAAAGAGTGGTAGCATGGAAAACTAACTTAGGCTTTCTTTCTTTCTTTTTTTTTGACATTTTTTATTTTATTTTTCATTTTTTTTTAATTTTTCCATTCCAAAATTTCCACCTACCCCCTCCCCGTACTTCCTGACCTATCCTCCTCCCTCCCCCTCCAGTCCCAGGATACCCCATCTTGTTGGAAGTCCAAGGCCCTCCCCCATCCATCCAGTCCCATGGACGCAAGCATCCAAATAGACCAGAATCCCAAAAAGCCAGTTCATCCAGCAGACACAAGTCCCAGTGACATTATCAATGGCTTCTCCGCCAGCCCTCACCATCACTCATGCCCAGAGATTTCAGCCTGACCATAGCCTCATTCAGTCCCAGTCCAGATGGAATTGGTGAGCTCCCATTAGATCAGGGACATTGTCTCTGTGAGTGGACCAACCCCTCTCTGCCCTGACCTTCTTGCTCATCCTCTGCTTCCCTCAGCCCCTCAACTGGACCCTGGGAGCTCACTCCAGTGCTCCAATGTGGGTCCCTTTCTCCAACATCAGATGAAGCAACCATGGAAACATGCGAGATACCT